TTGTACTCCATATTCTTGCTACATGTTGTTACAGAGTATAATAGTTTTGCTCATTTAAAACACATCAAAATAGATAGAGTGTGACAAAAAAAAAAAAAACAAAAAAAAAGTGTGATAAATAAAACGCAAAATATTTAATTATTCATCAATTTTTATTTTGTCATTTCAAAGTAATCTCCACCAGATGTAATACACTTATGCCAATGACTTTTCCAGTCCTCAAAAAACTTTTCATAAGCACTTCTTGAGATGGCCGTCAATTCATTCAGCGAATTTTGTTTTATCTCTTCGATTCCTGAAAAGGGGTGCCACGGAACGGCAATTTCAGTTTGAGATACAAGAAAAAATCACATTAAATCAAAAATTTAGTGAATGCGGTGGTTATTCGATGGTATTCATTGCGTTTTTGGCTTTAAATCCGTTCACAATCGTGGCTCGATGTTAGGGTACATCATCATCGTGTAAAATCCATGAATTGTTCTAATTCCGGCCGTTATCGATTGATACTCTCACGCAAACGTCTCAAAACCTGCTTATTTACCCTCTGTTCCTCCGGAAAAAATTCATCCATCACCATAACACGCAGATCGAAGAAGACAATGAGAATCATATTTATTTTTGAGCGTTCTTCCATCTATCCCGATGATTCTTGACTTGTTTGCGTGTGAAGTTCATAAACCCATGTCTCTCCGAGTAACTATAATGCTCTCCATGAATGTGGGATCGGATATTGTACAAACAACAATGTCCAAAGAGACCTGTTTACCCATACCCAATATATGCACCAAAATCATTCGAAGGGACTCGCGAAAGATTTCGCACTCTCTTCTCATCCCTATAATGATGGCGACTGCTGACGATTTTCAGATGAAGAGGTCTAAGGTCGTCCAGAATATGTCCTCAACGATCTCTCAACCGTCTTTAAAGACTTTTTACCACTTTGGGGCTTGAGTTTTTGATAAAATAATCACCGTAAATCGGATCAATACTTCTCTGAGCCCTCATATACCTAATATGACGGTTTTCGACGTTCCGTCTGACCGAACCACATATACGAGTATCGGCCAATATTTGAATTATCCCAATGAAAATTCGAGAACGGGTTTTTGGTAATAACATTGCATCTATGTGCCTAAAATATATAAAATTGGGTGAAAACTAGATGTAGTCTAAATACTATATAACTAAAATCAGGGTTTTCAAGTGCACCTTAGCTGGGTGCCCGGTCAAAAAGAGCTACGCAGCTTCTACTAACATGGTAGGACATGAAAGCTTCATTGCGGTGGGTCGTCATACCACAAAGGAGCTGCTCAGCAGGGAAGAAGGGGTATTGGTAACAACTGCAAGGCATGCGCCATGTCAAGTTGCTAATGGGTGGTTACAACCTCAGCAGGTTTAAATATGTAATCTGCCAACAATATGACTCTACACTGGCAAATGGAAGTTCAAGAAGCACTTATATTGGGTAGTCGAAAAAGTCTTTTCGTATTTCTAATCAAACTAACTTTATAGTTTTACTTATACATAAATAAAGAAATATGTACCATTATGGTCGACCACTTTTCCGTTAGAGACATTATTCCATCAGTGTAAAACGTTCATCAATGTAAATCGAAATTTCGAAATTGCCAGAACGTAAGCGAGCGAACCATTGCTGTGCTACATGAAGTGGTACAGCATCATCTCCATAAAATTCACAAATTTCATTGGTGGCTTGCGTGGCATTCTTCCCTTTTTTATACTAAAATTTCAAAATATAGCGAATTTCTTCATTATTTTCAGTCATTTCGAAAACCTGTAACTTTTTATCAAATTCCACGAAATTCATTTTTTTTTTTTTTGGTTAAATGGAGTTTAAAATCTCACCTTTCTAACACCATATGGCATGACACAAAGTGATTGGTATCCCTGGAGATATACATAACTATGACCGCAACTACAGCGATTGACAAAACATGAAAAGACTTTTTCAACTACCAACTACCACTATATGAAGACTAAAAATATTTAAAAATTATAAAATACTCTACATTATATCACTTTAGTATTAATTATTTTTTTGTGATAAAAAAATATTTGTCTTCTTAATATTTTTGTAAATTTGATTTAATTAATAAATATTTAGTTTAAATATAAAGTTTACTCAAGAAAAGTTACTGCTGAATTTTGAGCACCTACGTACCGCGCAAATGCACGCCAAACACCCTCATCTATAACCTAATTCCACCTAAAACCCACACATACTAAATTAAGTCATTTATTTAGTCTAATCTCGCGTGTCTCAAATCCACGCTCGTAAAATTTGTTAACTTTTTGAACCCAACAGAAACAATTATGCTGATAACAAGCAATAATAACAACCACAACCAAATACATATACTAATATATACATAAAATGACCACTCATGCGAAGCGTTCATTAATTTCAGCAAACTGATAAGCAACGCAGATTTTTAACTTTCGCTTCGCTCGCTTACAATTTATTTGCAAAATTCAGCTGAGTTTTCTCAGTGGCGCGTAAAAATCAGGAAATTTATTTGCAAAAATTGTTCGACAAAAATCGGTTTGACCTTTGACACCGCGGCTGTCAATCACGACAACACCAGCACGCCAAATTGATAACGGCGAAAAATGGCGAGCATATCGGCAGCTCTACAACAATAAAAACAATTTGTTGCTGCGCAAGTATGCCTTTCATCTAGCCGCGTGTGCGCTAACGGTAATCATTTATTGGCGTTCAGTAACAGCAAAAAGCGGGCGCTGCAAATTTTTATGTAAATGGCTTGCACTTAAATGCATACTACTTTGTATGTGTGTGAATATGAACGAGTACATATAATTTGTATACTTTTTGTAGCCGATATATGTACGTGTGTTTGTGTATACAGTTTTTATTAATTTGTTCTTGTGCTTGTATGAACTCAGACCTTTCAGTTGAACTTTGTTTTTAATTTTTTTTAACAAACAACTAAATTTTTAAATTAAATTTTGTTTTTGTAAAAAAAAATTCTTTATTTTATAGTTGTACTGAAAATAATATTAATAGTAAAAGCATATTTTGTCGCGAAAAAAATTTTTATTGATATTTATTTTTGGTTACAAATTTTGTTCATTTTTTTAACTAAAAACATGTTAGCTCTGCAAATTTTAATAAAGAACATTTTAATAAAAAATATTAATTA